AAACAATATATCGGACGTTACACAAATCGATATTGGATTTGATCACTGCTCGTGAAAACTAGTTAATAATGTTTCATAAAAGGCTACCAACGATGCACAGGAATATACCAGGAACCTGTTATCACAGTTCATGCTACTATGGTTGTACACGTTAGCCGAGAAATACGCGAACATTTACTACTTGTCATTTTGTCATCGTAGACAACTACGATCGAAGTCTCCCTCGACTCGTACGATTTTACGACGATCTTCGAACATTGCAAACATACTGTTCTATATAATATAATTTTCTATCGTAATATGAAATAACGTTTACGCGTGGACAGATTCTTTCCTCTTTTATTCTCGCTTCATTATGACGTATAACTGGATAAGAGATGGATATACTCGCCTGGTGTTTCCATCAAATTTTTTTTTTTTTATTGTCGCAGATGACACGATTTCGAAGGATATTCGAATATTTTATTGCGATATCTTCAATTCTTTTATACATCAGCGAGTTCGAAAACAAACACTTTGTTTTCCTAGTAAATTGATGAAAAAGTTATGTTCCGATTTTTGATTCCGATAACAAACAAATGGATGATGTATTATTCTGTATGATAAATTTTACAAGGATAATATTTATTCACGAAATATAGTATTTTCGTTTGAACTTAGAAATTATTGTAGATTAAACAATTATAGTAATTGAATGATAAAATTCCTTAAAATATATCGTATCCTAAAAATATATTATGGGTAATATACATTTACAAATTACAAAATAAATCTCGATTTGATAGAACGTTTTCATTCAAAGTTAATTGATAAAATTATTAATATATAATATGCATAAATAAAAACAACTTATTTTTAAATCATAATTTCACAATACAAAATTCACAATAAATCATTTCCAAATCTGGATAAATAATACATTAAATCGATCAACTTTTCCACCAATTTCTAACAACACAGAAGGTATCACAGAAAGGGTTAAGCCGAAAGAGAATCTTAAAAAAAGAGACCTTTCAAAGTAATATAACAAAAATTTTTTTAATCGATTCACCAATAAAGAAAATAATCGAGGTAGTCTGTTTAAGTGTGTGCACCCTGTGTACACGTATAAGTAGCCGGCTTAGAGAGTGCAGCAGCGCAGCTCCATTGCGATTGACGTGAAAATAATAAACCGTTCGAATGGCGACGTCCCTCTTCCGGCGCGATTACTCGCTTCAATCCTCTGCAAAAGGCGCGCCATGATTTTTTGTTAACTGCGTTATAAATACGCAATCAGCGATGACCTTTCTTTATGCCGACACTATCGATTCCCCCGGCTCTATTTTAAATGTGTACTACTAGCGCGGATATTGTGCGCGCCATAGATGCATGAAATCGTAGTTTTATTTGAATAGCGTGCATCGAGATATATAGACCGATTCCCATCGAATTGGTATATATGCAAGTACTTTATTCCGATCGTTCCCCGATCACGGAAGGGATAAAAAAGTTTGAAAGGTGAAAGGTAGAAAAGGATTATTAGAAAGGAAGATATTCAGAGTTAATAAAAAACTTGAAGGAGATTAATTTCATATTCCATATTCAATTTTCGATTCGATTTAATTGGTATTCGTTATTAAAAGATATCGGGCAGGTGAATTGCATTAAGAAATAATTTGTTACGAATGATTATTAATACAAAGAGTATAAATGTTAAGGGATGGAAATTTATTGCAGTTTATTGATAATGTCTCTTGCACAAATGGTTTCTCGTTTTAATTTCGTTCTGGCTCCTTTGTCGAGGAATTAAATCGAATCTAAGAAAAAAAATATGCACGGAGCAAATAGAGTACGAATGTAATTTGACTGCAAAGGATTAAAGCAAAAAAAAAAAAAAAAAGAAAAGAAAAAGAAGAAGAGGATGAAAAAAGATTCTACTTTTATCGTAAAGGCGCGTCCTGTTTGCTAAGGAACTGCTGGCTCTGAAGTTCCATTAAAAAACACTATCGACCAATCGATTGGAAACTCGATATCGACACCACGCTTCGTGATATCTGATCGATCGTAATAATTTGATAACTTGAAATACTAAAATTTTAAACTCTAAGCCTTAGAGTTTAAAAAAACATCAGTAAAATATTGTATTGTTAAATAAAAATTAAATAAGAAAAAATTAAAAACTCTTGATTCTTAATTAATCTAAATAATTAAAATTAAAATTTTAATTTGAGAAATTAATTTATTAATTAAATCGAAATCAATTTTCTTTAAAATTTTTATTACAAACAATCTTCTTTCTTTTTAAATAATGATAAATACGAGCGTTGATATGGAACACGAATATAAATCGCAAATACAGAAAATGACAAGATTATTATTAATAGAGTCTTGTTCCGAAACAAAACGAAGCAAAACGAATTCTCTGCTCGTCGTAAGAATATTATACTGTTTCGTTAAATAGTTATAAATTAATTTGTAAAATGTGATTGTAAAAAATTGTAAATATAAATCTATTATGTATTAGTCAAGATGCAATATTCTTTTTTTGTTTTTATAATAATAGAAAATAATATCGATTGCAAAAGAGGAAAAAATAATAAAACTGGATGCACAAATATCGATAATATGCAAATATTACGATTTAAATATAATTAAAATAAATTCATAAACTGAACAATTTATTTATTTTGGCAAAATCAATTTATTTTTGTTTTATTTTATTATGTGGATAGATTCATAAATGAGCATATAAATTTGTCGATAAATAACAATTTCGATTTCTATTTTCTTGAGGGGTTACAATAAGAGACAGGGGATACAATAATGTATCGAAAGTGTTGAGTACACAAAGTTTCATGAAGCTATAATGTATCAATTTCGTTGAAAAAATAGCGAGGGCCATTTGAACTCCACCCTGACAATTAAAGGTTAAATATCACTGGCCTACAGAAACGTGAGCAAATTTGAATACCCTTTAATCTATTATTAGCATCATATTACGAATGGGGATTCTTTTCAATTTTTTATACACATAATTAAAGTATGTATGATTTATATTTATATATTTACAATTTTTTACAATCACAGTAATAAATTAATTTATAACTATTTACACGAAAGTAAATAATAATAATTAATAATAACAATAACAATAATATATAAATTAATAGTAATAATAATTTATAACTATTTAACGAAATAATATAATATTCTTACGACGAGGAAAGAGAAATACCGTCCGTTTTGCTCCGTGTCCGGAATACGACTGCGTTAAATCGATATTTTAGTTTTCAATGATAATCGAATGTTATCATTTTCTGTTCGTATTCGTATCGCGATTTATATTCGTATTCCATATTATAGTTATTAACGCTCGTATTTATTATTATTTAAAACAAAGGAGGATTATTTATAATAAAAACTTAAGGAAATTGTAAAGAATTTAAAAAAATTAATTTCAATTTAATTAATAAATTAAATTTAATAAATTTTCATTACAGTTAAATATAAACAATATAATATAATATAAATAACAAAACGAAATCTTTTTAATTTGATCTAATAAAAAATATTAATAAAAATAATTAAACATAATATCATAATAACCATTCCTTATAAATAATAATTTACGATAATTTAAAATTACTATCGTTCTTTTTTTGAATCGCAAGATAAAATCTCTAAAACTTTATATTGATCTAATAATAAAAAATACAATAAAAGTAATCTCTTCTCATACATATATAATAATAATTTTCTTATATCAACTTCTTCCTTAATTGTAATAATGCACCTATACACTATAATAATATGCTTAAAAAATTATTTTAATCCAACGCGACGAAAACAATAAAACCAATATATATCAAAACTACCACCCCCTTCTACAATTCATCCTCCTACAATTTCCTCACGTATAATTCAATATTACTTCTTATCAATCGCAATTACCACTTACAATTTCTCTGTTGAAAGTTGAAACATCCGCTACTATAAAAAACATCCGTTTCCAGGGAATCACGATCAAGCCCCTCGTAAAGATCCTGAATGTGAAACGAGCCGAAAAGAAGAAGCCGACCATGAACGAAAGGATCCACGAAAGGGTACGTGCCTCATTGTCTTCGTTCTACGAACTGTTTGCCTACGATGATCTTCGCGTTCGTTCGTAACGAGGCATAACTTCAACGTCGCTTCGCTCGTTTCGATCCATCTGTAAAATAAAAATGTACCGAATAGGGGATGGTTTAAGTCGTGGAAGAAAAAAGAATGGTGCACGAAGAATGGTGAAGCTGAATGTATAAATTGTAGGGAACGCGTGGTTATACGCCCTTATCGTTCGCGCAAATATTAAAAAAGAAAAGAAAAAAGAAAGAGCAGCGAACTACGATACGCGGGAAAATCAATAATCGTTCGTCGCTCAGTATGGGAGAAGATTGCACTGATTTTCACTGGAAACCACTAAATGAACGTGTCGTAGGAAAAAGAACAATGGGTCTAAAGTAGATAAAAACCGTGTTGCATCGCGAATTCGAACGTTTCGAGTCATTTGCGCGTGGTGTGCACGTGTGTATACGTTGATAAAAGGATAAGGGAAATAATGTGCTTGATGAAATCGGCTGAGTAAAGGAAAATGGCGTCTACGTTTGCAGATAATAGACCACGTGATGGCTGGGATCGAGGACATTTTGGGCAAGCATGGCAATTACCACGTTCGGGATAAGTATGTATTATTTCGTATTTCGAAATGGATTTCCTCTAACGTTTTCGACTTCTTCATGGAATGATTCGTCTTATTTGATGAAAAACACTAGGGAGGTTTATCGATTTTTCGTCTCTCCCCTAATAGGATGACTCACGAGTCGTTCGAGATGTTAGGTGGGATGCAGATGATTCTGATCGCTGGTTTATTTGATCGTAAATTATTTATTACCGTTTCGCGTCTAAGAAAGTATTTGGATTTTTACGATCTATATATTTTAAAGATAAAAATTTCTACTTAATAAAGTATCCCTAAAATTTTGTTCCTTTAAACGATCTTTCAAATCTATAACTCGATTTAACTATATTTGCTTTAATTTAATATATCTTCTAAAATTTAAAAAAAAAGAATATGGTTTATTTATTTTAATATCTATAAATTTTTAATGTCTTTCATAAAAAAATTCATTAGTTTTGATAAAAGATGCATATTTCAATATATATCTTTTAAAAATAATAAATATAAAGAAATATAAGACGAATTTATTTTGAATTATTAAAGAATCAAATGAACAGATAAATATACTAAAAAATCGAGAAAAGTTTCAAGAGAGAAAAAAGAAAGCTTCCATATTTGTGAAAGAAGGAAAGAGATTAATCTTGTTACTTAGCGATAATACCCAATCCTAACAGTTCTAATAGTGACAACAAAAATTAAGAGAGCTTAAATAGAAGCTTCTTTTTTATCCATTTTCATATTTAATTTGGCATCCATCAATTATCATCTTAATCACTTTCTCCAAAATCTTAACACAAAGAATAAAACTATTTTTATACCATAACATTTTTCTTCGTTTCTTTTCTTGTCCCGTTTTACAGATTCAAACGGTTCGATAATAAATTTATTCGCCCGTATCTGGTGAGGAATCACTACGGTGCCGAGCCGAAAATATTGGAAACGTATTCGAAACTCGCTATGAAAGACGCTCTGGATTACATCAGGAGGAACGCGTCCACCATCGGCAATATCAGTGGAACTGAAAGCATGTCCGCTATATTCCGCAACTATAGCAACACGGGACAATTCAATGGAAGGTAGAATTTTCTATTCCTTCTTTTTCGCATCATCTTCTCTTCGCTTCAATCCCGCCTCATTGAATCATCTCTTTCGTATTTGACCTGTTTATTTCCACAATAAGGAACTCGAATGCTTCTTTAATCGTAACAGATGTAGAACAAAACCGATAGAACCACAGTGAAAATATGTATTAATTATCAGCGGAAGTTGGCTAACAAAAAGTTTTCCGTCTGAAATCGTAGCTGGGACGGTGTCCTTTGAGCTCGATATTCGCAGTTCAGTGCTTTGTTCCTTTAATTTAGTGTCACGGAAGATTGAACGGAAGGGAGATTGGCGATGATGTTAAATATACCGGGTGAATCATTGGGATATTTATAGGTTTTTTTAAGAGAAAAATTCTTTTACGATACGATAAAAAAGATCGCGATATATATGCTTTGTATGATGCAATAATATAATTCCCCGTGTTTAAAAAAAATTCAGAAAAATTTTATCCTATATATTTTTATTTTGCTCATCATTTATTTTATTTAAATTATTTCAAATATTAATATTCAAATTCTACGTTTAATTACAATGACAATTAAAATAAATTTATTCTTGTATAAATAACTTTATTCAAACAAGAAGAAAAGATAAGGAATTTTCATTGTAAAAACTTCTATTTCTATCATTTTCTAAATTTATTATAAATCTGAATTGAAGACACAATTAAAATAAATTCCTATTTTATAATAAAAAGAAGGCAATCTATAAATCTTAAAATTAGTCGAAAACGAAAAGATATAATATCAATTCTAAATTATAATTAAGACACGATTAAAATAAATTTTTCAAAATAAACTTGGGAAAAAAGTTAAGCCATAAATCTTAAATATAAAGAAGATCGAAAGGATACGATCCAATAGTTTCATCCGATTCAACGTCCCGCGTAGTACATTCACCCGGTTTACAAGTTGCTTTGGGAGTGTCGATGCTCCATGACTCACCCTATATACACACTGGCCAAGGAGCATAACCGAAGATAAGTCTGCATTGTATCTCGATTGAACAGCGAACCCTCCTCGAAAGCAGCGAGTATCGATCTTCAAGTGGCAGCCCGTCATAAAAATGCAGTCTCATTCTTTCTCCTTCCAGTCCAAGTTGCAGCCAGCTCGAAGCGGGCTGGAATATTGATCTCCAAGAATTGGAGTACAACCCTTCCAAGAAGGACTTGACGGACGCCAGGATCCACCACCTATTGGCCGAAGAACTTTGCAAGCCGTACAAGAGGGTAAGAAACCCCACTTTGCTGAGCACGAGAATTTTACGTGTATTGTATTGTGTATGCACGGCCCTGAAAACTTTTGCTGATCGCGATTCTCCTTCGAACGACATTCTGTCACTGCTTTAAATTTCATCCATCAATTTTACACTTTAATTATCATTATATGAACCTCTCATAAAATGATCGAATCATTTTTGATTGATCCTTTTGCAATTTATATCGTAAAAATAAATTTGTAATCTCTTTTTGTTTCGAATAATTATGTTTAAACGTATTTTTGTTAGAAGTCAAAATTTGTAATTTGTTATAATATTTTTTAGAAAATATAATTTTGAATATAATAAGTAAATTTAAAAGCATGATTCTTATAGCAGTTGTTTTGAACGGTTCATATAAGAGAAACGGCTTGAATTAAATCTGTAACTCTCGAAATGTGGAGTACATTAAAAAAAAAAAACGTTATATCGAATTTTCATCAAATGAAATTTTGATTAGCACTCGATCAACCGAACTCCTGTCGATTGAATCCATTCATCGAAACGTGAAATTTCTATTATTTGAACGAAAAATTGTAACTAATGAAAAGAATAACTGAATTTCCTTCATTCTCTGTCCCTCGACAGGTTCGATGAAATCGAGTTTTATTATAAATGCACATACTTTTCAATTCTTATAAAGGAATTGACAATTGACGTTTGATTTCATTTTTATTGTATCAAAAAAAAAAAAGATTTAATTTGTCAAATTTGAGTTGCTCATGCAGGGCACTTGAAAGATGAACGATTAATCATTAAGGGACTTTCGAAGCGCCTTGGATTATAAAATTACACTATGCTTCTTCAATGTTGAATATGTATGTAGCTCGTAAACTTGTTGTACGTCTGTAACAAAAAAACCCCTGCATATACGAAAGAACAAAGGCAAATCAGGTTTATAACGTTTCTCTACAGCATGGAACAAAACTGTTGCAGCATCGGCGTTTAAGCTACAGCCGACACGCGGTGAACGATCGCGACCTGTCAACCCAAGTCAATTACAAAATGCACATGAACATAAGACGGATGATGGGAGAGCACAAGCATCGTCACAAGCGCAGTAAAAAATTGCTCAAAGTAAGAATGTTCCTCGCGTAAAAAATGAACAATGACATGTGTCGAATTCCTCGTTGAATCGACGAATTACTAATTATTTGCAATTAAAATAACTTTACCTTTACCCTCCACCAATCCTGTGTAGGATGGTAAGCAGAATCACGTGAGTTTCCCGGAGTTCCAGCAAAACGGATCAACCAAGTTGTTCACTCAAGGTAAATTGGCAAAAGGGATATCGATGAGCCCTCCTCACCGATCAAAAGGTTCTTTTCGTTTGAATACGTGAACTTTTATTACTCGTAGATTACATCAACGGTGTCCTGTACGAGCTGGAAAACGGAGATACTTCAAAGCCTTCGAGCAAGGAGGACTGGGACTCTGCGATTACCTTCACGGCTCGCACTTCCGGTGAGAAGAGATGATTTTCTTCTTTTTCTCCTTTTTTTTCCCCTCCTTCTTAATTTTCTCTCTTTCTATCTCTCTTTTTAATTTCAACGAAGCTTTCGTTCAGTTGTTAGAAAAGTTAAGGAAGTTCTGGACAAATTATCTCCAGTCGTGTGGATTCTTTTGAGAAATTAGCTCCAGGAAAGGATAATTCAGAGTTTCCTGTCGAAGCGTTTCTTTGAATGTAAAACGGGATGAAAGGGGTAGAGCTAATTTTTGGCTCGATTCACAGTTATAATTTTCTCGACGCTCAATTTCCATAGATTCGTTGAACGTGAATACAGATGGCCACCACGGCGTCACCACCACTACCTCAATGGATACCATAAATACCGACGATCCGGATATGAAATTAGGACGCGACGGTGAGTTTATCGTGGTCGATGATAGTCGGAGGATTTTTTATATTAAATTTAAAAATGACTTAAAAATCTCTTTCAATGATATAAAAAGTAAATATTCTTCGATTATTTAATATTATAAGAAAGGAATAAAAGGAATAATTGAAAATTAAATATATAAGTTATTGGAAACGTCAATTTTTCCAATTTTTTTTCTTTTTATAACATAAAACTCTTCTGTATTAATTAATAAGAGTATATAAATTATTTGATAATAAAAAAATTTTCTTAGATTTCTAAAGTCTTTGATTTGTTAAATTTTATAGAGTTTGTTTTCAGGATTTTTATCTTGTTTCTTAAATTCTAGAAAGTTACAGGGTAACAACACCAACAGCCACAGAAACTATGTTGCCGTGGAAAAGGGAGGACGACTACGATTCCGGTCACCCGATCAAACAAAATGAATTTCCTGCTTGGTGTTCTAACAAAGAGTATCTGGCTTATAGCTCTCCTTCGGCGACATTTTTAGGTATGATTGATTAATTAATTTGACCAATATTAGGAATATACATGTATCATTTTACCATGGATTAGTGTATTGATATAAATTCCCGATAATAGATACACTAATTTCATTGGCTGCCACTTTATTAAATTTTACAATACATCGCACATTCGATTTTTCATTGTATAAATAAATTTGTTGTTAGGAAGATTGTTGGTGAAATAAATTTAATAAAAAAAATATTTCTGAATCATCTTAATTAAATTTATTATCCTATTAAATACTTATACTCAATCTGATTCTCTTCGACACCTAAAATAAACTCTGACACGCAGTTATTTTTCGACGGGGGGGCTCGGGTAACCCCTCTCACGTTGCAGAGAAAATCTTTCATTTATTAATTCAAGCCGAACTTTCTTAATATTTACGCGTTGTTTCAGGTATTCCCTAGCAGGTCTATTTTTCGATGCAAGGTCGATTTGATTTTTTAATCAACGTCTAAAACAAGTAGAAATACACGTGGACGTGTATACCGTGTCTCTAAAAATGGCATTTGTTTGTAAAAATGTCTTCGATCGTTCAATTTTTCCAATTATTCTATATTATCGATTTATAATGTTTTATAAAAAAAAAAGATGGTTGTTTTTGTGATTTGATTCGGCTAATAGATAAAAAAAAGGTGCGTAAAATATTGAAAAACGATGATTTACAGGAGAGCCGTATTTGTGAAGACAGGCCAGCTTAACGAGCTCGGAGGATACAAACCTCGGACTTCCGGCCGAAGAACATGTAAATTTTATATACTCAAGTCGTTCAGAGTTTTCTATATGTCGTTCTTTTACTTTTTCTCGATCTACAAATCTGCGAATGTGTTTTTTCTTCTTCGAATTTTGGGTTACCCAGTCCCCTTTGAAGCTCGCATATACATGTGTACACAGACACACACATATATTCACATGCGCGCACCTCATCGCTACGTACACGATTGATTGTGCATCACACTGAGAAACGTGCATTCATCGAACTTACTTGTCGAATCTTTCGTGTATATTTTTAAACTCAACGGATCATTGAGTTGACATTTTTTGTGTTGCCAAATTCTTTCACGAGCACTTCTGTTTCACATTTTCTTACGATGTATTTCTGTTGTTCTGGCCACCTGAAATGACGGTTTTATTAATAATAGTTTTATTAATAATAATGAATCTTTTCCAATTTTTAAAAGTTTACTTTAAAATAGAGATATATTCTTCTCTTTCTATCCATATTTCTTCTCGTTTTTTGTTATATTTCTTTCTTTCTCATCTCTGCCAATTTTTCTTTTCCTCTCCTGTTAATTATTAAATTAAAATAATAAATTTTCAAAATTTATATTAATTATTATTTTAATTATATATATATATATATACGTATATGATATTCAGATAATTTTTATCTTACATAATTTATTGATATTCATTGGTATTCATTGATATTCGATTACCAAGTTTCCTACAACTTCGTCTCACTAAAGTGGTTAATAACGACCGTAATTTATTCAGTCTGAAGATCCATAGATTTTTATTCACTTAGCGTATGTCCGATGAAAAATGAGCTAATATTCCCCATTCTATATTCAAACATTTCTCAAACAAATTAAATTTTAAACGCAATTTTCCGCGTTTTATATAACGGATATGACATAATGAGTCTTAAATTAAGTTTCTATTTCAAAAAAATAAAAAAAAGATAATAATTCAAAAGAAATAGTTCTGTAAAATCTTTCTTAACAGAGATATTCCAGGTGGCCGAACCGAAACATTTCATGAATCTTCATTAACCTCATTAGTGACACTTCCTTCTAATTAAAGGTGGAATCGAGCAGCCAAAGGTCCAGTCAGTAATTGGTCTATTCCGTCGCGAGAGCGTGTGCACTCCAGATGGTATCGATTGCCAGGAAACTGTGGATGAGCGTGACGAATACACGTTGACGGGGACGGAACAGACCGAAGATTCGCCTACGAAAACGTTTAGTGAATACGAGAAAGGTAAGATGAAATTGCTGTATCATTTTAAATTTTTTATTTTTATTTATAAGTAGGATTAAAAACTTTACGACAATTTAAAGTTTTTAATCCTACTTAAAAAACATTTCTTCATTCATCAAAAAAATGTCTTTTATTAATAAAATATATCAAAAGTTATTTCTCATTTATATTTTAAAATTTTATCGATCAATAAAGAAAAAAAGAGAGAAAGAGAGAGAGAGAGAGAGAAGACTTCGAAATTTATGAACTTATTCTATGCCTAGTCTTCGATTATTCAAGAAAATTATAAAATTTGTTATTTAAGAATCAGAATTATTTAGGAAATGTTCTATTTCTGTAAATTACGTGTTAAGTAAATATAATATTTAAAATCAATTTTCTTGAAAATAAAGTTTCGTATAGAAAAGAAATATCTCTCTATATCTATCTCTATATCATTATTTTCTTAATTGTACAAAATACGATCTAGAAATGAAATATAGTAAAATATAAAAGATATATAAGATGAATCATAAATTCAGTATTGAAGTATTAAATATAGTTGATATTGAATAGGATGGAAATATTAAAAAGAATATTAGGAATAAAACGGTCATATTTCGTTGCAGATCATGAAATATTAGTATATTATCAGTCGTGATTTCATTGCCACTAAATATGCAACTTTATTATAGGATATAAACGTCGAATAGAATTTATGATTTTTCTGCTAGTTATTCTCTAGTTACTACTCGAAGCTCGCTTAAATAAAATAACAAATATCGACGTACTTCTCAGAATATTTTTATCTATAAAAATAAACTAAAATATTTTTCTTTATTATCCGAAAAAAATTACATTGAATAAATTGAAAGTTAAATTAAATCTGGATTAATATTTAAGATTAAATGACATAAGATAAAATTATAAATATGATTATCAAAAAATTAAATTAATCCCTAAAGTGAAAAGAATATATCTGAATAATTTAAATGAAGAAAATCGATCAATAAATATTTATATAAAGGAAGTTAATATATTCATGGGACATCTTTGAAAGATTAATCCTAGAAGCCAAAATAAACGCTAAAGTTATTATTATTGAAGCTTATTTATTAATTTACAAGCAATTTAAGTTTGTTCAAAATTTTTTAATCACGTTTCAAGATCATTGAAATCATTAAAACAAGGAGGAAGCTAATTCAAATACACCAATCTTATTTAAATCTTATTAAAATATTAAAAGAAAAATATTTTATCGTAAAATAAAAACAACCAATTTAACCAATTTTTTCATATATACAAAAAATAACTTAAACAATAAACAATTTCATCATTACAGATAACAAGAAGGGACCCACAAGACGCGTGTCCATGATGGAACTAGGCTCGATGGAGAAGTCACATTCAGACAAATGCACGGATGACGGTTCTCATTCCCTGCCAGAGTGTTGGAACGCTCAACGAGTCCGGATGACCTCGTTCCCTTACTCGGCCCAAGTTCCAAGCCTCTCGACCGCTCTCATCACCTCCTCCTCGGAATCGTCGGAGGAGATCGACGAGGAGGAAGAGAAAGCTTGACCTTTGGGGATCGTCGAGGGGCAGGCGTCATCCTACGCGGACGAAGAACGTCGTTTGCGTCGACCATGGCGACGGCCACCCCGACGCTCATTGCTTTCGTCGCTTCTGCGACGTCCCAGCGCTCCAGTTTGAATGAAGGCGAGTGTCTCGTATCTTCTCCTCCCTCAAGAGGAAAGAACGAGCAACATTTCAAAGATTAATTCGTTCCCCCTGGACGATTGTCGATCTCGCTCCCTTCAAGACGAACATTTTTAACAAACAATTCAAGAGGAACGAAGAGCTGTTGTTGACCAGAAAGCTCTTCTTCTCTCTCACAGGACCACGATGACGGAAAGTACCTCTCGTTTTGATTACCGATGTTTTCATTTGCACGCAGAAACGAGTGATTCGGGATTGTTATATATTAGATAGTTCCGATATTATCAAAAAAAAAAAGAGAAAAAGAATAATAATATTTTATCGATTGGTTCAATCGTTGACGATACATAGAAGTGTGCGAAATTGTGCCATGATTCAAAAATTTGAATATCGGGAAAAATCAGAAATATTCGGATCGGATAAGATCTCGATATTTTCTGTGTTCTTTCGGGACAAATCGGACAAATTCGGTTAGGATTGAACAGGTACGAGGATATTGCGAGAGTTCGACCGATTCTGTCCGAATTTTTCCGAATCTATGATCTCGGGAATTTTTAATGTCAATCATTAGACAATGGATGTTTGTATCTTTATGAAAAATCGAAACCTGTAAAAAGAAAAGAACCAAAAAAGAATATGTACAATGTAAAAATCTTGAAGTTGTAATATTTAGAGACTGAGAAAAATCTTTGTTTCAGAATTCATTTCTTTAGTTTCCAAAAAGTATGGCACAAATATCCGTAATCTAATGATGATATACAATCGAAATGTGATTTCGTCAATAACGATGTTACAATTTTATGACGAAACGGTCAGTCGAGGTTGAGTTCTCTTTTGATACCTGGTGACCGCGTAAATCTTTTTTGAACATTCGACCAGACTGATGAGATGAGAGAGTAAAGAGAGAAAGGGAGAGAGTGAAAGAAAGTGCGAACGAAAGAGAGAAAGAGAGAGAGAGAGAGAGAGATATTTTTTTAAACCGATACACCTCGTTTCCTCCGTAGTACGACTGATGATGAAATATTACATTTATCGATAGACAGGAGGTAGTTTTTTTTTTTTTAGTAGTTGATTTTTCAAATGCTTCCTGAAGAAATTGCGGTTCGTCCAATTAGAAAAGAAATGTTTTCGATCGTAGGAATGAAGAGGGATGGAAAAGGGACCGAGCAACGATATTTCTTCGTCAATCTTCGTTGCTGCGTTGTTTTCTGCGTGCTAAGAAAGATCGAGAACAGGGAGAATGCGCGCCATTTTAAACTCCTAGACGCTGTAGCGTGTTTCCCATTTAGCGACGACTCGTTATACGATCGCTCATTAACTTGGTATCGTGGCCTTAAGATTCCTAGAAGTATCCTAGCAGCAACTCTGAACCTTCCGATATATTGTAAAAAAAGAAAAAGAAAAAAACGAAAGAGAAGAAAAAGGAAAAAGGAGACTAAGATTGAAGATATTAAATAAGGGAGAAGAAAGGAGTGATTTTTACGAAAAAAAAAGAAAAAGAAAAAAAAACAAGCAAACTCGAGGACTTGATCTGTGTTACGCTTAAATGGTAATTGAATAGACATGTGCACACGATGATTTTGATTCTTTTGTTTGATTTATTCGATGACGACGGAAAATAGTTTTTCGAGAGAGAAAAATAAATATATACAAATATGTTATACGTGTATAATACAGTTTGATATACTTGACGCGCAACGTTGAGATCATCGCGCGATCTGCTTTCGAGTTTATAGACGCAAGTCTAGATTTAGATGTGCCACGTGCCGTGGTTATACACCCATGCAAGATTGGGACGATTAACTTTATCTTTGTTGCCTTTAGAGGAGAAGGAAATCTTGTGGAGAGAAAATGAAGTGGTTTGAAATCGTAATATAATTTTTTCATACATGATTATACATAAATGTTATTATTGATGATACAATTGATTTAGAAACCTATTAATTGATTTGGTAACAGTTTTACTACATTTACTAACAATGTACTTGTTTTTATATAGTAAAATTAGAACTATTATTTATTATTCTTCTATAAATTGCTTCTATAAATTCCTCCAACAGATTTCCGTATTCTTGAAAACAACAATGTCCCCCTTTAGCATCAGTTCATCTTGCACTCATACTGTATTTTTGCAGAGATTCTTGCAAATTTTTAACTACAAAAAAAGACACGATAATAACCGGATAAAAATATATGTAATATTGTACCAAATCTTTACTTATAAATTTTATGTGAGGAAAATTTTCTATCTATATCTATCCGTTCTATAAGAATCCGTAAGAATCGCTGCAACAAACATAGTCACATTTTTAAAAATCACAGTTTACATAATTTTTTAAAAACGAGATTTGAAACCGCATATTTAAGGCGAGATTTTATTTCTATGTGAAGTATTTTGGATATCATAATATCTATTTATTCAAGAATAGACATGAAAAAACAATTTTTTAATTATGAATATATTATTTACTAACGAAATATTTATTAAATAAAATAAATATTAAAACTTATTTCTTAAGTTTATCACATTTCGATGTTGCATCTTCATATTTTAAAATCTTATTAATTAACATAGAAAAAATATTATATTGAAATAATATTGAAACAATGTTATAGAAATAGTGAAATAGGTTTTTAATATGTTTCTATATGAAAAAATTATAATTGTAACAATTTATTACAATTTATTTATCTTTTGAATAGAAAAAAAAATGAATTAAAAAGAGAAAATGGTCAATAAATTGCCTCGTCTTAAGTTATGTGACAAAGTAAATCTTATCACAAGAGATATTTATACGAAATTCTAATAACAAAAATGTTCGAAAAATTAAAAAATCGGGCATCTTATAATACACTTAAAATTGAAACTTTAAAGTTGAAACCTTTTTCACAGTGATAAACACATAAATACACACATACGCGAAAATTGTTTAATGAAACGCTCCTCTCCTTAAGTATGGCCTTAAAAGAAACAGAAAACAGAATAAAAAATAACTAATTAAGTAAATAATTAAAAATAAAAGTCTCATATGTAGAAAACAAACTGTGGAAGTGTCGTAGGTATATACCTAACGCATATGTACATAAAGAGACAACATAAGAAATGAAAAAAGCAACAAAAAAAAACAAAGCAAAATAACTAAAAAAAAAAAGTGAATTTTTCTTAGCGAGATAACGTAGCAAATTAATCGCGATGATTATTAATTACAATCATTTATCGAGACACGAGATGAGCAAAAAAAAAATGTGTCAAAGTGTGAAACTATGGCGGAGAGCTGCCATAAGGGAAAGTCTAGAATTCCGATTTTTATGAGAATTGAAGAGATGAATTATCAATTACCCTTCGCATTGCCAAGATACTTAATTAATTCAATTAAATTAATAAAAAATTAAAGTATCCATTTTCTCTCGATTACGCGAAAGTATGCTGGAAAAACAAAAATAAAACTTAATATATATTTGAACTGCAATATAATATATTTAATAATAATTAAGAAAAAAAATATCCAATATATATGATGGATACAAAAGCTTTCTTGATAGTACGAGAGTTGGTTAGTTTTTATTCAATTCTACTCTATTAAATAATTCTATTGGCACTCGTGGTTGATTAAGTACTTACGGAATTGAACGAAATCACAGCGATAATCTTCAATCCTTTAGAATTATCGACAATGCGTTGGATTGGTCAAAAATACTATTATCGAAGAAAATTGAAGAGATTAAAGAAAAAAGTATGAAAATGATTTATAAATATACTGAATTATTTTAACGTAGAATGTTAATAAATATATAATTCTTTTAGTAGGAAAAAAAGTTAATCTACAAGCGTTAGTAGTCGGCTGTAAGCAAGTTTTGAAATACTTGTTTTGAAATAAGGTAAATTTAGAGCTGATAATAAATAATAGTAGCGTAAATATTTTATTCTATGTGTCTTAACTTGTATTTCAAAAATTGCTTTTAATTAATTTTAAAACTTTTTTCAACACGCGTATACGTACATTTTTTTTTAGAATTAATTATAAAGATAAATATTTCCATATGTAAAAAAAATCAAATATCTTTTGGCAATAGTAATTTACCATTTCTAACTTGATGTTAGAAACTATTACTATCTCTAAATTTTTATTTAATCTCTTGAAGGATATTGCTTATTGTTTTAATAACTTTTCAAATATTTAAATTAATATTTAAAAATATATTTCAGTGTTTGATAATTATAAATATATTTTAATTAATATAATTGAAATTATTATTAAATATTAAGAAAATCCAATAATATTGAAATATAAAAAAATTTATATTAAAATTATCATTATATTTTTCGAATATTAATAATTTTATCTCTCGAGAGATTAAATTTCAATTAATCAATTTCTCTTTCACTAAAAATAATTCAGTTATTTAATTTTCAATCTTTGAATGTTCCATTTGCTCATGTTTTACTATTATATATACATACGTTATATAACTATTTTATATACGTTGTGTCGCGATGTTCCTCGTTGAAAATTCGGATGGAAAGTATTTCTATATCGAAATACGTAAAAATAAGTGGCAAATATCTTCGACCAAGACTGCGATTAAAGCAAATACCGCAAAGTTTTTGTCAATTAAGGTAAATACGTTCGTTAGACTTTCCTTCGAACTCGTTGCTTAAAAGAGCATATTTTCACGCACATTATTGCTTGAATAAAATACTTGCTTAAAGCCGAGGGAATTTGGAGAAAGTAGGGGAGTCGATTCAATTTTCGTAAAAATCGAACGAGTTTGAAATTTCCCTTCGTGCGATATATCCTGGCGGCCTCTAGTTACCTAGATCAGACAAAACGTCGAGCTAGTCTCTAGACGCTAGTCTTTACGCTGTTGATTTGTTAAAATAAATGTTTATTTCGTAAAAAAAAAACATACTTATTTTAGTACAATTACCTTCACTTCTGTTTCCTCGAAGTATTTCTTAAAATTATTTCAATATTTTATTACTTTTTTTAAAATATATATAATATAATTTTTTTAATATCCCAACTTCATAGAAACAATAATTTTAATATATATTTTTCTAATTATTGTATATTATAATTTAAAATAATACTTATCAATAATGCTTATTTTATTATTATTATTTTTTTTTAATTAAGCAAATGATAATAATATTGATTTTAATATGAAGATATTTTTTTAAATCATCTTCTTTATATCATCACTATGATATTTTTGAACTATTTCTATTGTTATTGCGATAAAAAACGATACTCCAAAAATATTACACTATAAATTCACAGAAAACTTTATACAACATAAATTTGATTTCAACTATCGAAAAAAACGGAAGAAATAAATACAAATTGAAACCCACAAAAAATAAAATTAAAAATCATCGAGAACAAACTATCAAACCTTCGATCTGTTCGTCATCAAAGTCACGCTAATTGAAAGTAACGTGACAAAACAATTACAAAATAATTAGCAATTTGTTAATGAAACAGATGCATATACTTCAACGATCGCTTCGAAATCGAACGGATGGAGCATAATAAACGAAACCTCGCGAAAACGTGAATCTAAACTAAACAATTGTCTTTTGTGCAGATCAAAATGCCTGGCGGTGTTGTATTTTTAGTTTGCATACCTACGTTCAGTTATGAGCATGAATTAATCTTTGGCGTGCCTTTGAAACAAAACAAGAAGAATGAAAAACCAAGAAAACTTATAACTGGACCAAAAGTTGATGTGAGACTTAGAGAGACGAGATCGAAGACACATCTGTTAAGATTGAATGATAACGACGAGCGGGATGACATCGATATCGACGATGATTTGACTGATAGACGATATAGAGATCGAAGACGTGGCATTTCCGGTCAACGGGACAGAGATCCGGTTTTCGTGTCGATGGAAACGGTATTTATAATTCATATTATATATTACATTAAATATTTATAATATTTACTACGAATAATAATTTAATTTTTTAAAATATAAAATAAATTATAATAGCAAAAATAATCGAAAAATATGAAAAGTCGTTTACATCAATATTTATAAGATATAATGGTTATTTTATTTTTCTTTTTTTTTTTGATATTAGAGTACAAAAATTCTTTATAAATGGAATGAAGTTTAAATTTTATCAAATTATTATTTATAAATATCTAGGAATGATATTATATTTTATAATTTTAAATAGATATAATTATCGTAGAATGAGTATAAAAGTATCATTAGATTTATTCAAAAGCTTGTAATTTGATAAAATACGAATGAATTTCTTATATGTTATTTTTTCTATATTATTAATACTATAATTAATAATATGAATAATATTTAAAAAAAGTACAATAGTTGAAATAGATTACACATTTGTAATTGCAAAAACAATAAATTAAACTAAATTAAATTAAACAATAAACTAAATTGAATTTTTCATAAA